TTTTTTTTTAAATTAGCCATACCTGCTTTTTGTAGGATTTGAAACCATCTGGGAAACCAATGTAAATGGCACATGATCCAGGGTAGCATAACAAGTGTGCTTCCAGTCCTGACCATTTTATCCTCTTGTGCTGAGATATAGATGGAGTTTATTCTTCCCGTCTCCCCCCAGCTCACAAGTGGTTAAATCCTCCCTTAAACGCATCTCTTAGGCCCTTAAAGTGGGCCAGTTTACAAACCATTTAAAAAAAGTAAATTATCGTTTCATATTAGGGGACCTGTAAATAGCTGATTCTGAACATTATACTGGTGGTGTTCGTCATATTTTTGATGTGATTTTATCCCTCCTCTCCCCCCTCACCCAAAGCCCCTCTGTGAGTGTTACAAAGCTTAATGTGTTGTGCTATGTAAATATTTAATTGATTTAACACTGGTTTAACGGTCATATCTCAAACGCCTACACAGTTTTAGGGAACAAAAGTGACAAACAAGCGAATGGTACCTGACCAACATGTACAAACAAATATAAGGAATTAAAAATGATTAAAAAAAAAGGAAAGATTTTATAACCTCTGCAAGAGTTGTGTGTCTTGTGCAGATGCCTTAAGTTCTGTATGAAAAAAGCAAAATAAAGTGGATTTTAAAGGTGGGAATTGTCGACATTGGATTCATTTTCACTGCGCCACAAGCTTTTACAAGATTTAAACTCTGCATCCTATTTACACTTTGCTCTGTCTGGGAACAAATGGAAGGGAAGTGTATTTGTGTCATTACAGGTAATATTTATAATTTGTGAACACTGGCTTTCATAAAAAGGTGCATGCTTAAAGTAGCCGGCTGGCTCGGAGGATCGGGTGAGTATATCTTTATTTTCCCTACCCTAGGAAAAAAAATAGCATTTAACCCTTGCAGTGTAGGAGTAGCCCACTGCAAGGGTTAAGAATTTTTACTCTGAGTTGTTCCTTATATTGGTGATCCTGCTGTCAAGATCTTTGTTCAGGCGCTTTCTGTTATGGAGTCTCCCAATTGTTCTCCTGTATTGTCACTGTTATTTAAGCCCTTGGTGGAGACCAGGGTTTAGCTGTACTTCAAAGTTGCAAGAACAGAGCCCTTCTCTGCATTGCAAAAAATCAAAGATGGGACTGTACATAGTTCTGTGTTCCTCCCGTCTTTTGTTTCTGCAATGGGGACTGTGCGCTTATTTTTTCTGCTTTATAATTATTTCCTTGGTTCCCCTTACTTTATAATGGGTCATTGAAGAACTTTCATAAGTATTGTCGGTTAGCTTTAGACACATCCATAGTATATCCAGCACTAGATTTAAGTGACCCTGTTGACAATATCAAAGTCTAAATGAAAACTGCATGGAAAAAAGGAAGGAGCGCAACTAACAATGGTGGTGATCTCCAACGTCACCAGACCACCATTTTGCCCATCCATTCCTTCACACGCGAGTGCCTAATTTCTATTCCCACTTCCCTTTTACCTCGATTTACTGTTATTCCCTGGTCAATCTCTTTCCACACAGTCTGCGCCAGTTAGTTGCGCTCCTTCCTTTTTTCCATGCAGTATTATACAGTTGGACACCCCGGTTTAATAACAAGGAGCTGCACAACGGCCACGACACACCACACCCCCACCTAGGAATGCACTAACCAATCAGTCTTCATTTTCTAACTTTCTGAATGAAAACTGCCACTGTAAAGAAGAAGGTGAATACTTCCGTCTCTGGATGACCACACTGCTGGATGCCCACACTGCTGAACACTGCTCCAGTCAAATTCTGTGCAGAAGCCAACTTTCCTGGGAGTGTCAATAGTCCAGCACTCAGTGGTTTCTTCGCTGACTTTCTGAAGTGATTATGGGCTGGCAGGTGAAATCACTGAGCACTGCGGGAGACACGAGATCAACCCTCCTGGAAGTGTTGGTTTTCCTGCAGAAGTCACATGGTGATATTCAATCCTAGGACCATTGCTAGGACATGGGTGGCAGGAGAAGCAAGAATTCACTTTCCTCTTTACAGAGGCAACCCAGAATGTCCGAGGTTAAATCGGTTACTGTTTTAGCATTAGATCAGTTCCCTTTTCTTTTTCCTCATCATGATTGAGATTGAAGCCATACATTCGCTGGAGAAATTGTTTTAGGAGGGCAGCTTTGTACAGAGTGAAGTCTTGCAGGGATCTAGTTTTTCGCCACAGTCGTTCAAGAGTGCGGCTATGTCTCTTGAGATTTTTGGTTTCATCTGTTTGCCACGGTTGTAGTGGACGTGGTCCAAGTCTGCGAGTAGTGAGGGGAGCCAAGGTGTCTAGAGAGGATGAAAGTGTACAGTTGTAGACCGAAATAGCCAGGTCAGGGCAGGATAGGGGTGAGATTTTGTCAGAGGGAGTCAGTAGCAGAGAAGAGAAGGGTCGAGGTGGTGAAGGTTTTTCCGGGTGACAGTGTGCCGTGTAGGGGGATTCAGGGTTGGGGATAGGGTGAGGGTGAAACTGAGAAGGTTGTGGTCTGAGAGGGGGAAGGGGGTGTTGGAGAGTTTGCAAGGAGTGCATAGGTGAGAGAAAACAAGATCTAGTATGTTACCATCAGAGTGAGTAGGAGTGTCTGGCCATTGGGTTAGATCAAAAGAAGAGGTTAGGTTAAGAAATTGAGCAGAAGCTGAGGTGTTAATGTTAGTAGCAATGTTAAAGTCACCAAGAATGATAGTGGGTATTTCTGAGGAGAGAGAAAGGAGAGTCCTGATTAACATCTTCTTTCATATTTGATGTAGTTTTAACTGGCCCGCAGTACTGTCTTTTGCTTAGAGGTAACCAATAAGCATAGCCAAGTGAGAGCTGCCATTACTGACTGTTTTTAGAGATGCAGACTCCTGAATATTAGACGTGCACCAGCAAAAAATTCGTTTAGTTTCGTTTCGTCTTGAAAAAAAAAAAAAAAAATTCGTTTAGTTTCGTTTTTCGGGTCCGAAATTAAATTAGTTTCAGACGAAATTCGCTAGCGGTAGTCCTGCCGAAATTTGTTTATGAAAAAAAACCAAAATAAACCGAATCGGACATGTCTACTGAATATGAATGCTGTATATTCCCCCTTCTGTTCCCAGCAGTATCGCTTACTGATAAGTTAGCTCTATTTTCCAGGTCCAGAGACGTATACGGTGTGCATCACTCTGAAGCTTGAGGATCAACATGATGCTTCTGTCTGTGTGCTTTTACTAGTTTAGGGTTCTGTAGAGCTCCTAAGCTGAAACCTTCCCTGCCCCGTTGTTCTAAGTTTTCTAAGGGCTGCCCCTGTGCATCTGGTAGTATCCCGCTGTAGCAAAGCTTCTACCATCCCTGGAGAATAGCTGGAGGCCCCCTAGGTTTGTTTTTGCTGGCAGTTCCTGCTCTGTAACCTGTTCTAGCCGTGACCTAGTCGCCTTTGTCAAAGCCTGACTGACTGGTCTAAAGCTGAAAGAAGGGATCTGATCAATAATGGAGTTGCTCCATACTTCATTG